TGCTGTTCCAGGGGGCGGGAAAGGGGGAAGATGGGAATCTCCTACAGCATCTGGAGCAGGAAATGGGAGGGAAGGAGCTGGGAAAACCCTGGATCAACCCCCAGTTTCAGCCTCCTCGGCCAACAGAAACTGGTGCTGGATTTGGATCCCAACTCCCAAAAATCCAATGGAAAAAAGCCTGGAAACCTCCCCGCCCCAACCAGGATAATCCCTCTGAGTGCAGCCTAAGCTCCCAAAAACAGCCCTGGAGAGGCAAGGTTGGTTCATCCACCCTCAAAGCCCCCAGGAATGCCAAGGAAGGAGGGAGGAGGATCCCAGGGTGCTTCCAGAGGCCCTAATTCATGCAGGTAATTAACGAACAGAGCTGGAATTAACAACCTGGGACCGGCTGAGCTTGTGTTCCCATTCCTTGGAACCACTCCCTTCCCAGATCTCCAGGCAGATCCCAAAGCTCCACAGCATCAATTGGATCCACAAGCCCGTTTTCTGTAGATATTCCCTTTGGGATTGAGGTTCCTCCACAACCCCAACCCCACCATCCCACCCTTCCCCCTCCGAGATGAGCCATTCCAGCCTCTGCCCTCTCCATCCATGGGATCAGCAGCATTCCCAACCACCAGTTGAGCCACTGGAGATGGGATCCAGAGGTAGGGAACTGGGAATGATCCCCAGGGGGATGGCATGGGATCCAACTGGGACAAGGAGCAAAGTGCTTATCCTGCTTATCTCCAAATCCATCCTGCCTGGCCAGGAAAACCACAACCTGACCTTGAGCAAGGAAATCCTGCCTGGTTTTAATCCCAGGACTAAACCCAGCCCTGCTGAGCCACTGGAAAAGTCCCCTGGGTTTATCCCCAATCCCAAAGGTTCTTTTCTGGGGAATGAGGTTGGGATTTGGGGCTTTTTCCCCGCTGGGAATTTCCCTAAATACTCCGGAGGTGCCATGAGGGGGGTGAGGGGGATTCCTCATTAACTCCAGGGTTAATTAAGCCTTAAATGAGGTGCTTCTCAAACTCTGGGTGATGAGTCCCTGTGGGATGAGGAACCTGGAGGTGGAATTTTGGATCCCAAGATTACCATTAAGGGTTAATTACCCCTTGCTGAATCACGGGGTAATTAAACGAACTAATCCCTAAGGAAGCCATGAGATTCCCAGAACACTCCAAGAGCTTCTGGAGGGGGGTAGGGGCGTCCTTTGACCTCTATCCCGTGAGATTTGGCTGGGTCTCACACCCCTTCTGGGGCACAAGGATGGGTTTGGAGGGTCCCCAGCAAGGGGGTGAGAGGGGGAAAACCTCCTTTTCCATGTGGAGAATTCCCAGCAGCATCCCAAAGTTTGGGGGGGGGGGAGGGGACACCCTAACAACCCCCTCAGGAATTTTGGGGAGGAATATGGGAGGACTGGGCGGCACACCAAGGTCTTAAAAGGGGGAAGATGGGCAGGGGGTCCCGAGATGGGATTTGGGGAGACAGGGGGATACCCCCAGACCAGAACTGGGGTACCCCAAGGTCTGAATTGGGGGATACCCCACAGGGACAGGATTTAGGGAATGGTGCCCCCTCAGCAACTCCAAAAAAAGGTAGGGGGCACCTTCCAGAGCAGATTTTGGCAGGGCACCCTCAGATTTAGTAGGATACCCTCGGATCAATACAGCGGGGGCACTCCCATCCAAAGAATTCAGGGGTGAATCCTGAGGATTTGAAGGCATCCGGGATATAAGGAAGAGGAGAGGGCGCTGGGGCACCTGGAGGCCCCAGCGGAGGCGGGGGATGTCCCGATCCTGGCTGTCCCACGGTGGGCGTATCCCGGGGACCTGGGAATCCCGTTCCCGGTGTCCCATTCCCAGGGCCCTGTTCCCGGGGGTGCCCCATTCCCAATATCCCCGTTCCCGGTGGCCCCTTTCCGAGGCTGTCCCGTTCCCGGTGTTTCCCCACTCACGCACCGACGCAGCTCCTCCTCCTCGATGCGCCGCCCGTCCCACACGAACACCCCGGCGAGCGCGGCCATCAAGCGCCCGGGGCCGGCGAGGGCGGGGCGGCCGCGGAGCGCTCCCCGCCACCACCCCCCCCAGCCTGAGCCTGAGCCTGATCCTGATCCTGACCCTCCTCCTCCTCCTCCCTCCGCCACCGCCCCCTCCCCGTGCCCCCGGGGCCAGGCCCGCCGCGCCCGCCGCGCCCCGTGCGCTGTCACGCAGCTGCACTGGCGGGCGAGCAGCGCGGCGGGGGCGTCCCGGGGGGTCCCTGCGGCGGTCCCTGCTCGGGGGGTGCCGGGGATCCCTCCGCGGGGGCTCCGCGCGGCGCGGGCGCCGAGCGCCCTCCACATGCCGCCGGAACGGCCCGTCGCGCCCGCGGTTGCGTCATCGGCTCGCGCCGCGCAGCTCATTGGCTGCGGCCGCACCGCCCCCCGCGCTCATTGGGTCGTATGGGACGGGCGGCCACGCCCACTGCGAAGGGGCGGAGCTCGGGATGCGGGAATGGGCGGGGCTTACGGGAGGTTGGGGATGGGGCGGGGCCTGTAGGGGGGACGCGCACCCA